CACTTTCAGGTAATTTTGCTTGTTATATTTTGGCTAAACAAACTAGTCCTTGGGCTAAAAGTCCTTTCATAAGGCATAATCCAGAGACTGCGAAGTCAACCGCAGGATCACCGCAGAATGCCAAGAGTAGCCAGGAGCCAATCAGTGTTTCCTCCAATCAAAATGGAGAGGGAAGAGGGAATGGCTTTGAAGGACAGGAAGAAGAGCCGCTACCAAGGCAACAGTCAAATAAGCGGGGCTTGAGCCCCGGTCAAGAAAATAACATGAGAAAACCAGTCAGACAAGTCCTTTCCTAGTTCACATGAAGGTAAAGTGAGGGAGGGGGAAGCGCATTCAGACTTGCAAGATACTGATACAATAAAAGTAGCCCTGACCTACATGGCAGTGATCTCTTAGGCTGGTCTACCTTGTTGGGCTGACATAAAATGATAGCTTTGCAGGCAGCATGGCAGCCACAGGTATAGATTGAAGCATGCGGCTTCTCTGCGGTTCGGTGGAGAAAGCCGTGGATCTGCCCAGTGACAGAGAGGTAGGGAGAAGCAGGAATTAGCCACTGCTACCAACAGAAACAGCTGGGAAAATCTAGTTAGGCATTAGAAAAAACAAAACCAGGCATTGTAAAAGTGACTAGAAGCTGAGTAAAGTATTACGTTCGGAGTGCTGGTTCCCCTGAGAGCCTTGGGTTTGGGTGTTGACAGGGAGAGCAGAAGTGCCTAGAAATGAGGAAAAAGACTCACCCTTCAAATGCCCGCTGCACAGGTTGCAAAACAGAATTTTTTACCATTGGTTTAAGCTGGACTTCTTATGTTTAATCCAGTAGTATTCCAAATGAGAACTGTATCATATGTCTCATTCACAAAACTGCTACCCCCGTCCCTGCCTAAAAAGCTCTCTTAAGCAAGAACAGAGAAAATGCTTGCACAATGCCTTTGGATGGTAGGGCTAAAAGCCATTTTGACATACATGTTTCAAAATCACATACATAGATTTTGCTTTTCAGTTTTTTGAGTCATATCTTCACAGGCTATGAAGTGCTGCATGGCTCGACAAACTGTTCCATATTTTTCAGCCGCTAGCATTAATGATAAAAATTGCTACAATAAAAACAATGGAGTAAAATTTGTTTCAGAAAACGTAACATATGCAATTAGAATAAACTATAAAATTACCAACAAATACAGTCATACTCTGAGTGATTTCATTACTGCAAGTAAACTTTTATAGCCTCGAATTTTAATATTTGACCAGTTAATGTGCTTCTTCAACAAAAGGCAGAGGAACCTACTCTGTATATTTTTCAGTAACAGAGCTCTTTCTTCATGATAAAAAACCTAGTATCTTAAATTCCACAATAATACATTACCACATACTCCATCAAATGTAGCAGAGAACACTGAATAAAACCTTAAAACACAAAAAAGATTTCCTTGTTATAAATGAAGATAAATTGCTTAATTGATGGTAAAATTTCATCATTCTATAAACACCTTTTAAACACTTGCCATTAAATAAAGAAGACACTGAGCAAATACTTCTTTTATATATGGTGATAATGGAATTTATAGCTTTTGTCATTTTTCATTTGTGGAACTCTGAGAATACAGTATTAAGAATAGAGATGTACAGATAAAACTAACATGTGGGATCCATGAATACCATGAAAATGTGGAACTGAAATGTAGATTAAAAATGCTCCTTTCAGCTTCTAGTAAAGCTGAGGAGGCATTTCCTGCAGTGTTTAAAATTGAATTTAGAACACTATTTTGACTTTCTATGTTTTCAGTTGAAAAAGACCATCAAAAGCTTCAGATGATTCACACATATATAATCTGTAACTTTTAGTTTCAAGATTTAAAAAAACTGGAAGTAACATAATCTCATATCGAGGTGTTTAAATATAAAGGACAGGTGCTGGGCCTCTATATCAGCATTTTAATACTTATCTGTACAGTAAAAGAAGGTTTAGGCCATAAATAATATAGGCCTAACTATCGAAAGGACTACCTCTTCTGTTACAATCATACCCAGGCATTAAGATTTGCAGAAGAAGCCCTTTTAAAGATGTCTTGCTATTTCTGGCACTGTTATAGTTGAGGAGATGCATCTGCTTCCACCCCCAAGCACCTCGTAAATCTGCAGAGATGCATCTCTTTCCCCAGGTTTTAACTATCAAATGATTTTAGTACCTATTTTATGGTTAATTTTAAATGAGGCTTAAACTTTTTTTTAGTTTAGTGAGACAATTAAGAGTATTCACCAGAGTAGAAAAGCAGAGTATAAATCAAATAAGAATGATATCAGCTAATTTACCAAAGAATAGACTTATATGTTAGAACCTGGGTTTATATTCATTTAGGTCATTTTAAAAACCGTTTGACTGGGGGGGAAAACTGTTTCAGTGGATGGCTATAATTCTGCTGCAAAACTTGCACAGGGTATCCAGCTTTCATTTTTCAAAAAAGAAACATTGAAGAAGGTGTGGTTCTGCTTAAGAGACTATTAAGGGCTTCCCGCTCTCCAATCATGGAGGGTTTTGGTGTTTCATTTCCTTTGGGTGAAAGAAACCTTATGGCAAGAACTGAAATACTTGTCTAGACCAAGGAACCAAACTATTGAATTATCTTAGATTCTTACAGGAATTAGGTAGATCCCCCCTGCTCAAAATGCTGTCAGTTCAGCTCAACACCAGTTCAGAAATTCCTTGTTCTAAAAATGACTTCAGATTGTTGGGTTCCTTTCTAACTATCTAGAGCAGTGATTCTCAACCTTTTTGAAGCTGCCGCCCCGCTAAGGAGCGGAAAATTTTTCAACGCCACCCTTTGTGAAAATCCTGTAATTTACGGTATTGGGGAGGGGGAAGTTACTGAATTATAAAAGGCAAAAATTTTAAGTAACTTTTTTCAGTA